CAGGAATGGGGTTGTGCCAAGTCCCATACTGTTTTGCTCAAGTTGGACTCCCAGTTTGCATCAGCTATTGGGGAATTTCAGATGAAAGTGAGAAGGCACTGAACAACCATGTGAGAATCAGTCAAGTTGTTATCATGAGGCATTCCACAGTATTCTCAGAGAACTTGGATATTTTTCTAAGCATGTAAAATGTGATTCTTAAACATCATTCTTGGCCCGTAGACACAAAAACACATTGATCTGAAAAACAACCATTTTTCAAAAGAATAGGGATGAATCCATCCAACAAAGTATTATTCACATGATAATATTTGTTTAAAGGTCCAATCACATATTACTCATCTTTCACTCTGGAAGCACATGTAACCATTTATATGAAGCTTGCAGACCTGAGGCATTTCCCTCTTAGCTACTTGTGACTTCCATGTTAACACAATCCATTAAATTTAGTTAGGGAGCAATACTTGGCAAGCATGAGAGACATCAATGGAATTCTGCACCATAGCCATTCAATTTTACTTGACTGATTCCAATTCTCAATTTCTAGATTCTATCCAATTCATTGTGCAGAACAGGTGAGAAAATAACTGCTAAAGGCTCATCAATATTCTCTAAAGGCTACATTCTCATAAATCACAATTTTCCTAGGAAACTTTGCAATATCAGAAGCGCTTCCTGAATGAGGGGGAAATCCTTCAGTCCATGAATGTTCCAGGGGCCTTACAACTAAATCTGTGTCAAAACACAGCTTTTGCGATCATCAGAGGACAGATGAATGTATAAAAATATAATTGTTTAAAATATGAAGAAACTTCTCAGAACTCTAGATGCTGCTATGAATGGAAAATCCCAAACAATTATTAAACCAAATAACCAAAAAATGACAAAATCTCATGATGTGACACTGCAGAACATAACATTAAAAAAATTGTAATGCTATTCTTTCATGGAAAACTGAAGGTCTGATGTTCACAGTACACAGAGCCCAAGCTTATTCTCTTCTAACGGGAAATTTTACACCTAGCACATCAGTCAAGACCATCATTCAAATGCAGTTTGACGTCAGCTTTGCCATGCAGCAACTAACAACTCATGTTCTATTGATTGCTCTGGAGCCTGCAACCTAGAGTAAAAACAAGTAATTCATTAGAGATTTAAATGCTAACTAGGACGATGCAAGTTGAAACATGAACTTCATTCACACTTTGGCTAGTAGATGATGCTTGGTGAATGGTGACTTGAACCTTTTCATGCATAGAATGTATTGGTTTTGATTAAATTCTATATTGTAAATATGATTGCTTTGAAAGTGACTGCAAGAGTCTGCTGTCATATGTCCAGCGAGGATTCCAAATAGGGAGGAATATTCCCACCACACATTCTGAAATGGGGTGAAGGGAACAACTAAAAATGGATGGGATTAGTCGCAAGTCTTTGTCATAATTGGGATAATGACAAATCATAATTGAAATTTCAGCATGATGAAATTGCTAATGCACTTGAAGCCTGAGAATTGATTTCAGAGAATAACTCACCAAAGCACTGCCTTCAGGAGAGGTGTTTGGAGCATCTGGTTGCTCCTGGCAGCCCATACATGAACCACCTCCTGGTGGTGAGAGGATCATGATCTTTGTCCCATGTTTTTCTATCCCTCTCTTTGGGAGAAAGGAAAAAAAAAGAAACAAAACAAATAGTCGAGTTTGGCCATTGATCGATTAACATTGAGGAGAATAAATCTCACCCAAGGCATCATCCTTTGGTGAGGGCCACTTCTCTGAAACATCATTCTTCAAAAGGGATGAAAGACATCGAGGGGTGCCTCTGGATCCTGAAGCTTCTCATATTCAGATTGCCTTGTGCTTGCAGATCAAAGCATTCCAGGCATCTGACACTGGAACATTGATACCAAGGGGTGGCAATGTATGAGCATCACAGAATATCTTTGAGAAATCATGCTATAGAAATATCAATTTCAGAGCTTCAGTTAGTTGTATGAGATTCTCTTGGTCCAAGGATGGGACATGATGAGGGGCACACCCTAGTAAACTTCAGCTGTAATGATCCCACTTTGACTTGGGTTACTGCTCCTCCAATAGTACAAAGCTCTATGATTTACACTTTTAGCATCTGACCATATATCTGTCTGAGCAACTGTGAGGCATCATGTAAACTTCCTGCATTAGTTTTCAAGGGGTCAAGGTGAGATAAAGTTACTTGAATGATTCTGAAACAGTTTGTACTGTAAATAGAATCATACAATATGATTAAGGCTGAACCAATGCATTGGCAATGTATAGGTTGCTAGTATGGCACCATCAGTGCCATCAGCCAGGGGTAGGTTGACGAACTTCTGATGCCAATGCCCAAAGAATGTGCTTAAGAAAAAATAGAGAGAGAATGTGCAATGGTAAATAATTCTAAACAGCAATAAATGAGTGGGTCTGTTGCATTACAATGATCACATTCCCCTCTCTTCTACTCCCACCCTGATCAAGGATGAGCAGAGGCAGAAGATGAAAATAGATCTGTGCCCATGTCGAGGGGAGGAATGATGGATGTGAAACTTTAGCTCAATGAAGATGTGAAATGACTATTGATCCTAATGCATCAATAATTCATTGCATCTTTGATGTTAAAACATGCAGAGTAACAATATTGAAAAAAAGGGGGAAAAAAGAACATGGATACATAATGGTCCTATTTTATTTTGAGTGCAAGAGCAGCTTCATTTTTTTTATGAAGGAAAACACACAGGAAAATAAATACTCTGAACTTTGGAGTGTAACGAGTTGATGATCATGACGTGCACACAGGTACAAAAATTAAGGCAAGGAGTGTAAGAACTAATAACACAAGCAGACAGTGGGTGCATTTTGGAGAAGAGAGAATATAAGAATAAATGAAAGGATAAGGTAATAGAGCTACTTTAATTAAAGGGATTGCCAAAAAAAAGCCAGTGGCTTGTCCAGGCCTGCTGGGGTTCATTTACTACAATCAAGTGGTTAGTGCTTCTTTATTTCATTTATTTTTTTTTTTAAATGAAGATGTATTAAATCTGCTCAAAAAGAAAGTGGTCCTTTAGTGTGCTTTAAACTTCTTGAAGACTTGGAACTCCTTCAAGGGCCAGGGGTAGCTGATTATATATTCTCACAGAAGTTGCATCAATCGACCTGTGCTCGTATCTGGTTCGGGATTCCAAATGTACCAAATTCTGTAGAAAGCCTTGTTTCATAGAGATGTATATCTTAAGCTCACTGAATTGTGCTTGCTGTAGTAAAGCCTATGGTGCATCTAATATCACAATAGTGAATATCTGTCACAGGCCTTCACATTTTGGAATTTAGTATCAGTGTCGAGTACCTTGAAAAAACCTAAACTATAAGTTGATGATGAAAAGTTTTCAAGCTCATTTGCTGATAGATTTCCCATGTTGAAATCACCAATCACATTTCTGCTGGAGGAATGATACAGATTTAAATTTCAACTAAGGAACTCAACCAATTCTTCTTCATTAGGTGGTCTGTAGGTGCCACCTATAATTAGACATTTTTTTAGACTTCCATGTTAACACAATCCATTAAATTTAGTTAGGGAGCAATACTTGGCAAGCATGAGAGACATCAATGGAATTCTGCACCATAGCCATTCAATTCTACTTGACTGATTCCAATTCTCAATTTCTAGATTCTATCCAATTCATTGTGCAGAACAGGTCAGAAAATAACTGCTAAAGGCTACATTCTCATAAATCACAATTTTCCTAGGAAACTTTGCTATATCAGAAGCGCTTCCTGAATGAGGGGGAAATCCTTCAGTCCATAAATGTTCCAGGGGCCTTACAACTAAATCTGTGTCAAAACACAGCTTTTGCGATCATCAGAGGACAGATGAATGTATACAAATATAATTGTTTAAAATATGAAGAAACTTCTCAGAACTCTAGATGCTGCTATGAATGGAAAATCAAAACAATTGTTAAACCAAATAATCAAAAAAAGGCCAAAATCTCATGATGTGACACTGCAGAACATAACATTTAGAAAATTGTAATGCTATTCTTTCATGGAAAACTGAAGGTCTGATGTTCACAGTACACAGAGCCCAAGCTTATTCTCTTCTAACAGGAAATTTTTCACCTGCAACCTAGAGTAAAAACAAGTAATTAATTAGAGATTTAAATGCTAACTAGGACGATGCAAGTTGAAACATGAACTTCATTCACACTTTGGCTAGTAGATGATGCTTGGTGAATGGTGACTTGAACCTTTTCATGCATAGAATGTATTGATTTTGATTAAATTCTATATTGTAAATATGATTGCTTTGAAAGTGACTGCAAGAGTCTGCTGTCATATGTCCAGCGAGGATTCCAAATAGGGGGGAATATTCCCACCACACATTCTGAAATGGGGTAAAGGGAACAACTAAAAATGGATGGGATTAGTCGCAAGTCTTTGTCATAATTGGGATAATGACAAATCATAATTGAAATTTCAGCATGAAATTGCTAATGCACTTGAAGCCTGAGAATTCATTTCAGAGAATAACTCACCGAAGCACTGCCTTCAGGAGAGGTGTTTGGAGCATCTGGTTGCTCCTGGCAGCCCAAACATGAACCACCTCCTGGTGGTGAGAGGATCGTGATCTTTGTCCCATGTTTTTCTATCCCTCTCTTTGGGAGAAAGGAAAAAAAAAGAAACAAAACAAATAGTCTAGTTTGGCCATTGATCGATTAACATTGAGGAGACTAAATCTCACTCAAGGCATCATCCTTCGGTGAGGGCCACTTCTCTGAAGCATCATTCTTCAAAAGGGATGAAAGACATCGAGGGGTGCCTCAGGATCCTGAAGCTTCTCATATTCCGATTGCCTTGTGCTTGCAGATCAAAGCATTCCAGGCATCTGACACTGGAACATTGATACCAAGGGGTGGCAATGTATGAGCATCACAGAATATCTTTGAGAAATCATACTACAGAAATATCAATTTCAGAGCTTCAGTATGAGTTGTATGAGATTCTCTTGGTCCAAGGATGGGACATAATGAGGGGCACACCCCTAGTAAACTTCAGCTGTAATGATCCCACTTTGACTTGGTTACTGCTCCTCCAATAGTACAAAGCTCTATGATGTACACTTTTAGCATCTGACCATATATCTGTATGAGCAACTGTGAGGCATCCTGTAAACTTCCTACATTAGTTTTCAAAGGGTCAAGGTGACATAAAGTTACTTGAATGATTCTGAAACAGTTTGTACTGTAAATAGAATCATACATTATGATTAAGGCTGAACCAATGCATTGGCGATGTATAGGTTGCCGGTATGGCACCATCAGTGCCATCAGCCAAGGGTAGGTTGACGAACTTCTGATGCCGATGCCCAAAGAATGTGCTTAAGAAAAATAGAGAGAGAATGTGCAATGGTAAATAATTCTAAACAGCAATAAATGAGTTGTATTACAATGATCACATTCCCCTCTCTCCTACTCCCACCCTGATCAAGGATGAGCAAAGGCAGAAGATGAAAATAGATCTGTGCCCATATCGAGCGGAGGAATGATGGATGTGAAACTTCAGCTCAATGAAGATGTGAAATGACTATTGATCCTAATGCATCAATAATTCATTGATAGTTTGGTCAATGCATCTTTGATGTTAAAACATGCAGAGTAACAATATTGAAAAAAAGGGGGAAAAAAGAACATGGATACATAATGGTCCTATTTTATTTTGAGTGCAAGAGCAGCTTAATTTTTTTTATGAAGGAAAACACACAGGAAAATAAATACTCTGAACTTTGGAGTGTAATGAGCTGATGATCAGGATGTGCACACAGGTACAAAAATTAAGGCAAGGAGTGTAAGAACTAATAATACAAGCAGACAGTGGGTGCATTTTGGAGAAGAGAGAATATAAGAATAAATGAAAGGATAAGGTAATAGAGCTACTTTAATTAAAGGGATTGCCTAAAAAAAGCCAGTGGCTTGTCCAGGCCTGCTGGGGTTCATTTACTACAATCAAGTGGTTAGTGCTTCTTTATTTCATTTATTATTATTTTTTTAAATGAAGATGTGTTAAATCTGCTCAAAAAGAAAGTGGTCCTTTAGTGTGCTTTAAACTTCTTGAAGACTTGGAACTCCTTCACGGGCCAGGGGTAGCTGATTATTTATTCTCACAGAAATTGCATCAATCGACCAGTGGTCGTATCTGGTTCGGGATTCCAAATGCACCAGATTCTGTGGAAAGCCTTGTTTCATAGAGATGTATATCTTAAGCGCACTGAATTGTGCTTGCTGTAGTAAAGCCTATGGTGCATCTAATATCACAATAGTGAAGATCTGTGACAGATCTTCATATGAAGATCTGTCACAGGCCTTCACATTTTGGAATTTAGTGTCAGTGTCGAGTACCTTGAAAAAACCTAAACTATAAGTTGATGATGAAAAGTTTTCAAGCTCACTTGTTGATAGATTTCCCATGTTGAAATCACCAATCACATTTCTGCTGGAGGAATGATACAGATTTAAATTTCAACTAAGGAACTCAACCAATTCTTCTTCATTAGGTGGTCTGTAGGTGCCACCTATAATTAGACATTTTTTTCAAAAAGCAAATCAACTTCTGCCAAAGCGCTTCATATGAACAAGGTCCACATACAGCTTTGACCACAGAAAACTCCAAATTTTTCTCGATATATATTGCAATGCCACCACCCCTTTTTGTGTCAGCTCTGCAACAGAAAACTACATTATACCCATTTATCTTCATATAGATCATTTTCATCATTGTGCAGTCAAGTTTCAGTTATAATTAGTACTTCTGGCCTTTCCTTAATTCCAGCAAGAAAGTTGTTGTCATCAAAGTGTATCCTTAGAATATGGGGATTCCAATACAGGATGCAGAGGCTTTTCTCTTGTTTTTTTTTCAGATCAGAGAGACTTTCAAAGAAATGAAGAGAAATCTTGAGAGGAGGAAAAACATTATCAAGACTTCCTTCCCATAGAAAGAGTAAAGTAAACTAATGCTGACAATATTTATTCACTAACCACTTGTCACAGGGCTTGGGACTCGGATTAGGGCAATGCAAGATTTGTAGCCATTAAGGATCTGCTCATTTACAGACCTTATGTCCATAGGACCACATCAATATCATCTTTGGAGTGAACCAGGAACGCCCAAGGCCCTTTTGTCTTCCAAGAAAGATTTTTCCATACAAGACCCTTTGAAAGTTTCTTCTGAGATACCTGATGGAGATGGGCTATGCTTTGCTTCGTAAGGTGATCATGGATAAATATCCTTGTGGACTGAGGGAGATGAGTCTCCTTTTCGTGAAACATGCAGGCATACAGCTTTTTCTTCTTGACCTTAAATATACATGATTTCTTTTGCATAGACTGACAAACCTCACCATGATTTACAGGAGTATTTCATGGCATAGATTTCAGGTCTTCATCTACATGTTGCAATTGGCACCAGCACCAGCACTGGCCAATGGGAAGGAGATCACAATCACTCTTTGACCCACTGACCAAAAGGGGTCATTGGCCCAGCCCTAATTATGATGATGAATATAAAATAATGAAGTTATTACACTAACAGACCCACAAGAGGATAATCATCATGCAATACTTGCACAGTTCAGTACAAGCTACAGCAGTTCTTAAAAAAACGGATTTCATATATTTCTCCTTTCCACAGCCAAGACCAGTCCAATGCTGATTCAACATTGCCAAGAATAGCCTTGTTAACATGACTTTAGTGCTCTGGAAACCATGCCAGATGAACCTGCTTCCCTCTCTCCCTTCCTCCATCCCTCAGAGCATTGGAGGAAAGGAAACTGGAAAATCCTGCAGGCGAACAAGGCATTTTTGAAGAGACCCAGGGGATGAATGAAGTTCTGAACCCCAACCTAGAGAGGGCAGAGAGGAACTTGAGATCGAGGCCACTGCTGTTAAATGATCCGATTGGAAAGCCATCACCGTCTTCAAAGGAAATTGTCAATCCAGAGAAGTAGGCACAAATAGAGATACTGTGAAGCAATCAAAGAGTCACTAGTGTGCCTTGATACTTCACTAATGTATGGATTGAAAATGTTGGTACAGAATATTATAAAACATTACAAAATTATTACAATAACTTGCGTGCAAAATATTGTGAACCATTTGCCTAAAACATGAGAGTCATACCAAGGCCCTTTCAAAAGAACCTCACCAAAAATGACCAAATTAGCAACATCTATCAATACAGCAACCTGAACTCTTTGGCTGACTGTCCATTTGCCATCTGTCTCCAGTCATAGAATGACTTCTCCTTTGTCCAAGGAGAATGAATACAGAGTCAAAAGCAATTCCACTGGCCTCTGAATGAAACCTTCCTTGTGTTCCTGCTGTACAATTCACAAACATATTGACTGTTAATGCACACAGCTGTATCCCTTATATGACTAAAGATCACTATGGCAGTTTTGTAAACATGAGTGCATCGGTGCATATCTCTCCAAAATATATGTAAATGAGATATGTTGGGTAACAGAATGGAAAGAAAGCAGATCACTTTGGAATAGGGCATGTGTTGAGCATGGGTTGATGCATCGCACAGGGTATGCTTTGCACTGCTCTCCAGTTTCATGCAGGAAGCAGGGCTGGCACAGGTAAGAAGGGGAAGAGAAATGAAAGCTTTTCTAAGGTGGCTCCCATAATCATCCTGCTCCAGTATCCTACCCTCTGCATTTACTCCCTCCATACCATCATCAGGGTGGGGGAAGGTGCAGTCACCATGAAGAGGATTTGTAGGCATTGATGCCTCAATCGATTGATAATGAGACCAAAACATTAATTGATGCATGATGATACCCCTATTTTTCGTATCAATACTATGAAACATCTATCAAGCTGTGTCCACATGCCTTTTTAAAAACACTTTCAGGCCCATACCCTTCACATGATGTCCTATGTCCATTGAGTACTCAAATCATGGGGATTGAAAGGGTCACTTTTCTCCATTCAGCACATAATTCCTTTGGCATGGGCAGAGTGTAAGCCCAGCTCTAACACGGGCACCAACTGTACCATACTGGCAGCTGATACCAATCACTAAGGTCACCAATACATCAGCACAGCCCCGTTCATATAGACTATGCCCTGCATGGCATAGTCTAGAATGAGGCAGGGTGCATCAGCTCTGCATAGAATATGATGAGTTAATAGAATCCTATCCTCCAAACAACCTCCACATAATACGTGTAACTTGTAATCATTCTATTGCCACTCTCTAAATAATCTTCAGGACATGTGGGCATTTAAGTGAGCTTGGACTCAGAGAGACCATCCACCATTTCAATTCCTTGCATGACTGCATGGGGCACAAAATCTGCCTGATACACAAACAGTATGGAAAAAGCATTCTTTTCCAAATCATGATTTCAAAAATGAAGAAAAATATAAGTAATATGAAGGTTGATGAGGATTTGACTAAGAAACATTCAGGCATGAACCGATGGAATCAATTTGAATATGACAAAATGTGAACAGAACAGACCTGCCTTGCTTTGGAGTCCCATGAATTGATTGCTCTGAGGAAAACTTTAATATGGCAAGGTGGATGATTTATCCATCGCTCTTAACGTTGACACAGATCACAACAGCAGAGACTACAATTACTCAGCATTAGTCAAGTAAACTATCTAAAGCTCACAACCTTGATGTGATCTTGATTGAAATGAAATGGGTATCATATAGAACATTTTCTTGACATGTAGATGATCTTAGCTACATTGAAATACAATCACTCATGAGTAATAGCCAATGAAAAGGCAAACAGGGCCTTGACACTGTATAATGCTATTTGCAAGGATATACTGAATGTATGAGAAAATCTATATTAGACCTCATCATTTTTGGCATTTCAGTGCAACATTTGTTTCATGCACAGTCACATACTCTTTCATTGAGGGCCTATTGCACCAAGTTGTGGCTTCCATGCTTCTGTTCTAGATTCCAGGGAAGATGCACCCAACATCTTAGAATTCCTTGAGAGAAACTTCCTAATATGGGAATCTAAGCAAAAGCTTCAGGTGGCAACTAACATGTCTCATCAACTAGCTCAAACTTTTATGAATGGGTGGCCGATGAGAAAGATTAAGGGAATTCTATAGGCACAATCCACTCAGACTGTGCAAAGCCTTTAGATACTTTTTGCAAGAGGTTGCAGACTAAATTTGAGTTGCAAGGGATTTATGGTGAGGAGAGCAACTGAATAACTAACTGGTAGCTGGGATGAAAGCAGAGCAGGATTGTGTTTTGAGAAGGGTCAGAAGAAGTTGGGGTCACGAGCAGAGTCTTTGGGCTCCATCCTGTGATTACTCCTCGGATTCTGAGAATTCCTTTTCCCTGAGTATAACTGCTGGTTATGCTGCTCGATCCACTGGTTTAGACACCGAAACCTTCACAAATTCTCGTTTTACCGGCTGCACATTCCCCAATGTGTCGGTCGTCCAGTGAGGCCGGTAGTATGGGGACTGGGAATGGAACTCTCGAGCGGTTTCGGGCAAAATGCCCATCGAGGGGGATCAATGATCCATCTGGAAAAGGAGTACCTTGGCCTTTGCTTGCTGTCTTCCAGCAGCACTCTCTTAAAATACCCTGACCCATGATGGAATAGACATTATTCTATGCCTAGATTAGAAAATGTTGCATGTCCAGAACCAAGCTAGACAGAAGCTGATTCACTGAGGAGAATCCCATATGCCATCAGTACAAGATGGTTGCATGGAATTCAACAGTCCAGAGCGAAGAATTGGAGAAATGTTAAAAAGAGAAACAAAATGCCAAGCTGGGAATAGAAAACCTCTGCAAAAAATAAAAAAACCTCAGCGAACATTGTACCCATTCTTGCAGCTCTCTGTTATCCCAGGGTCTTGATTTAGGCCTAAGCCTGATGACAATGAGAGAAAAGACAGAATGGAATTAGCATTTGAAGTAAATTTAAATGCAGCTGTCAAGGCTAGTGTAACGCAGGCGTGGTTGCCTGTTTCTGCAGACAACCACCTGCACTGGGTCCGTTTCAAGCGTTTGAAATGAGAGAACAAGAAAAAGATGGGAAAATAAAGTTCCTCTATTCCAATATCACAATTTTAGAATCTTTCAGGATGAGAGTGCTTCAGGTACTGCCTTCTAACATAGGATTCACTTAGGCCCTAACAGCAACAAGACGTGGCGCT